CTAGCCTCTGGCTGTTGCACGTTAAAGGACATCAGCCAATCAGAACGAATGGGCAAGAGGGTACACAAAGGAGAAAAGACTGAAGAGCTGGACTCCTCTGGTCTCAAAAGATCCAGGGTGTGTGACAGCCCCTGGTGCACGGTAAGTATCAGTAAATTTCAGGAGAAAATAACAAGGTGGTGCGTGGGGAGGAAAGCTACCTTCACATACCTGCAGGCTCTCTAGAAGGACCACATTAGTACCAGTGGGTAGACAGCATGGGGACCAGGAGCTGTTAATTTTGAGGATTTTGAGACTTTCCTTAGTCTCCCCAGTGTCTGCTGGGAACCAGCCACACCTGCAGAACTGGGTGTGACCCTGACATCTGCATTCACAGGAATGATGACCGGCCACAGTCAGCCGGAAGAGAGTGCCAGCTCCTGGCAACCAACTTCACCAGACCCATGTACATTTCGCCAGGTTCAAAGAGTGTATTTTCTACTTTCTCTCTGAAAACTGAATTTTTCTGTTTTATCCGATTATAAAAGTGTTCATATCATCTTGTGAATTTTAGAAAATACAGATGAGAGTTGCTACATTACAGAAACAACTATTTTTAATACGGTGGCATATGACCTTTCAAAATTTTTCTGTGCACAGAGGCACATTCCTACTTTCAAACCTAATGCGAAGATCATTGTGAATTGCTAATCAGTCTCCAGGCACGATCTTTAAAATGATCACTAACTCTGAATCTCTCCTGAACACTGTGGTTGTAAGCACACAGCCCACTTCCCGTACTGACCACACTGTACTGACCATACGTGGTGTTAGTATTCCTGCATGTCACTAGATACTCTTTGAGTACAGATTGGAAATGGATGTTTAATATCCATTCAGTGGGTTTACCATAACGCATTCAAGTTCTGTCTTTTCATTAACATTAATGTGATGGGAAATTTTTATTATAAATAAAAGATCTTAAAATCACTAATGCTGCAGAAAATCTTACTGGTGCATTATTTTTATAGGTTAAATGCTAAGAAATAAAATATGACTTTGTGGGATAAGCATCTCTGAGTTGTTTTGTCTTTCATTTTGAGACAGGGCTTCAATAAGTTTCCCAGGCTAACTCCAAACTGTGATGCTCCTGCCTCAGCTTCCCAGAGCGCTGAGATTGCAGGGGTGTTCCTCCATGCCTGGCTGCCTCTGTGATTCCTGATCTTTCTGATTACTCTCTGATACAAGTGTCTTACCCTTTACCGCCACACCAGTAGGATATCCAGTGACCATTTTATCTTCCCTACAGCATTTACTAATACTATTATCTCTTTTCTTCCTCACTCTTTGATGATAGGAAAAATGTTTTACTTCATTTGCTTTTTTATATTGGAAAGACGAGGGGTCTTCATATTTATCAAGTGATTGTATTTCAGTCTTTGTGCATGCTGGAATTTCCTATCCAAAACGTAGTCAGCCATGTGTTCCACTGGGGTTTCTTGGATGAAATGTGTCTCTCCTGACCTCCATCCCCACCCACAAATTCTCCACCCATTGAGAAGTCTTGGAAGCCTGCTAAGGTTCAGATTTCTCCTGGAGCTGGATTTGATTTCGTATGCAGTGTGTGGGGTCCCTGGCAAGTCAAGGTCCTGAGGATCAGAAGGGGCAGTGTGTGTGGCTCAGCGTGCAGAGATACAGCCTGATGCAGGTGTTCTGGAAACAGGTGTGCTAGAGTTCGCAGACAGCTGTCAGTAAGAGGGTGGCCTCTGAGTAAGGACCTTCAGGCAGAGCCAGCGGGAGCACCATCTGATGTTCCCTGCTGGGAAAGGAGACAGGAGACTTCAAACTGCAGTGGGTATCAAGACCAGCTGTGGTGCGTTAGGAATGAGATCACTGCCTGCCCACAGGGTTCCGAATTTCATAGGTCTCTGCTGAGTCTGGGGGATGCATTTCTAGCCACAGCACTGGGTTTGAGAGAGTAGTCGAGTTTGTGGGGCTTGCAGTAACTGCCTGAGCCCCTCGGCGCTTGCCACTAACTGAGGCAGGTACTTGTTGGACATGGATTTTTTTTTTCCCTGGCACCGGGAATTGAACCCAGGACCTTCACAGTGAGCTACATTCCCAGATCTTTTTTTGGTTTTTACTTTGAGACTGGGTTTCACTCCAACTGGGCTTGGGCTGGACTTATGATCCTCCTGCCTCTTCTTCTCAGGATTACAGGTGGAATCCTCAGGTGTGCCTTGTACTCTGCTGGGCTGTAGGACCTGTGCAAGTGGACAAGCATGTTGCCACCGAGCCACACCGCACCTGCAGGTGCTGCCCGTGCCCCACCAGGTCAGGGCCCACAGGATGGGGCTGCAGAGCCTACGCCCTCCACGTACAGGGGCAGAGTCTGGGCTGTGCCCTCCCTGGCCTGGGAGGACAGTGCAAAGGTAGTCACCCCTTTATGCTCCGGGGATTGAGACAGGATCCAAACACCATTCTTCAAGAGCTGAGAGTGCTCCTGAGGGCTGCCTAAGGCAGGGATGGGATGGGACGGGGACCCTGGGCCTGTGACGGGGACAGCGTCCTGCACTGGGTGGCAGCGGTGGACACACAGGGCTCCTCTGAAGGTGTGAAGACAGCAAAGCAGGGCAAACGCTGGATCCCGGAGCACCTGCATTCCCTCCCTTGGTTAGGTGGTGGAGGAAGTGTCTCCCACAGCAGAAGGCCCAGTCATGGGGCTGATTCTTCCCGCCCTAAGCGGGTGTTTTTCCAGGGCTGTCAGAGGCGCCCACCCTGCAGATAAACCTCTCAGTTCTCCTGCCAAGCGGCCTGTCATTCATTCAATAAAGAAGGGACCTGAGAGTGGGCAGGGAAGATCAGGAAAGGCTGTCACACTGCATAGTCCCTTGCTTGTCTGTGGTCTGGCGAAATGTTGCATGCGGTCTCTTTTGTTAGTACAGCACATACATACACCAGCAGGACGTGCTCCGGAGCACAGGGCTTGACAAAGCCCTGGTTCCATCCCAGACACTGCAAAGAAACAGTAGTGGGGAGAAATGAAAATAGAAAAACTATGCGCTGTGAGTGAATGAAGGGAAAGTTTGATTAACAGGCTTTAAAAAAGATTTTTGTGTTTTAAAAATTGTTATAGCTAGTGATCCCAGTATTCTAGGAGGCTGAAGCACAAGAATTACATGTTCGAGCCCAACCTGAGCAAGTTAGCAGCTTAGAGAGACCACGTCTCAAAGTAAAAAATAAACCAAGGGGTGGGGAGGTAACTCGGGGTGAAGGTCTTGTGCTCACTTCCTCACACATACCTCACAAAAATCTTCCTTAATTTTTTTTGGGCAAATGCTGGTATCACTGACGCTGGCTTACACAGTGCAGAGAGGCCATCACAGCCACCCCACCCTTCCACCGATGTACGCACTACTGAGGACACTTCACTGGTAGAGCCTCGTCACCCTGGACTTCTCATTCTTATAATGTCACAGAATGGATCACACAATCCTAGCTCATCAACATCGCTTTAATTTCGACTGTTACGCACAGTCCTTTTTTCAAGGCAGGTTCTCCGTTTCTCAATATTTTTGGTGCACACGTGAAGCCATTTATTGTGTATAAATCTTGGTTACTTCTCCCTGATGAAACTGGCCAGCTCCTCCCAGGCACACTGACCCTCGGGTTAGTGTAGCATACACTCTCCACAGACATGGTGCTCTAAGTCCATAACCCAACATGTTGGCAGCAGTATCCTGAAATTATGTGATTAACTGTATTTTACCAAGAGATATTGGAAGTCGGGTGTGGTGTCACGTGCCTGTGACCCCAGCACTTGGTGGGCAGGGGGTGGCTGGGGCAGGAAGATCACAGATTTGACATGGGCCTAGGCTACGTAATGAGATTTCACCTCAAATTAAAAAACTCCGAATGATTTGGGTTGCACGATTCCAAAAGCCTCCAGACAGTTGAATATCATCACTAACAAGAGTCAAACCATTCACATCAAGATTTTCAGTGCTTTCTCTATAAAAACCTAATGTGAGAGAGACCTGAGGCTAAGTTCTGCCAAACTAGTGCTAAGAAATGTTCATTCACTGGTACCAATTGGAAAGGAATCCTCGTGCGTTTCATGAGGCAGTAATATCCAACCAATTTTAGTAATTATTCTGTAATAATTTTAAGGTACTTGCTTTTTAAGGAGGTTAGTTTACATATGCTTGTGGGAAAAGTATGTTAGAAAAATCAGTACAACAAAAGAAAAGAAAAAGTGCTCTAAAGGTTATAACTGCATATATGTTTAAGTGTATAAGATAGATAACCATATTACTGAGTGTTTTTTGGATCACTGAACAAAACTGTTTGCAGTCTCACTGTTTGAAAGTCCACTTTATGTGCTTCAATTTTGTAACTTGAACAACTATTTCTAAGAATATGTATGTACGAGAATATGTAATCTATTAACTACTGATTTCTTACTGTTTTTTAAATTTTGTATTACTTGTACCCTTTTTCTGTTTTTTTCTTTTTCTCTTTAATAAAAAAAAAAAAAAAAAGAAAAAAGAAAAACCAGTACAAGTTGTTCAAGTGAATTGTATGGGCACATGGAAAAGAAAAAAACATACATGGGAAAGATCTTGGCATTTCCAGCTGTCAATGGTTTGTACTTTCCACATTTTTTTCTTTTTTCTTTGTTCTTCTTCTTCTTCTTTTTTTGTTTTGTTGTTGTTGTTGGCATATTTTTTAAGTATTTTTAGTACTTTGCTTTCACTGCATTTATTTAAAATACGATGCCATGCTTACAATTCACAAAAAGCCATCTTCACACTGTGTAAAAAGAAATACCATATTTCATCGTGCTTTTAAGAATCTGTGGAGAAAGCATTGCTGTAATGACTTAAGTTGAATTTTGGTGAGGTGTACGACATGCGCACATTTCAAATTTTCACACGGTTAACCCTTGCAGTTTTTCTCTATGTGATGACTTTTGCTGTCCTGGCGTTCACACAGTTTTTCAATGAATTCTATTTCCCCAGCGTTTACCAGCTCCTGGGAGTGTATCAGCACAGACCCACCCTCCGATGTCCCGCACGAACTCTTATTTTTCAGAAACATCAGCGCTTGCCTGGTCAGTGGACTTTGCGGTCTCATTCCCTGCATCAGCCAGGCCGTATCACAAAATACCTGCTAGACTGCCGTGTAAAGAGACAAGGCTGATTTTCCTCATCCTTCCAGAGGTCCAGCCCAAGGTCGGGTGGCCCTGTTTGTTGTTCTGAGCCTCGGATGAAGGTACTCAGCCATCATGGAAAGGGCAGGGCACCCAGGAAGCATGGAGAGGTGGGAGAAGGGGAGCACAGTTCCCCCAAAAGCACCGCCCCCAATCACTAAGAGCCTCCCCCTAGCCCGTCTCTTAAAAGCTCCGCACCGCCCACAGAGCTGCCCTGGGAACCAAACCACACAAAGGCATTCAGCACCCCCACTGTAGTGACCCCAGGGCAGTCCTGTTACACCTGCCTGTGCATATTTTTCTGTTTACATCTAACATTTTCAAGAATACAATTGCAATAATTTCAAAAACTGTAACTTTCAGCATATGTTGACATTATAAAACTTGCAGTTTTAAATGCACCCAAATGAATCCAAATAGTCTAAAAAATTGATGCTCACCATCTTCCACATTTACAAACGTGTAACTAAGCTCTTTCTTAGCTCATTTTTATATTATTTTTCTCATTCAACTCATACTTTATTCCTTACTCGTGGAATTTTATTATGCTAAGTTTCATGTTTAAAACTCTTGCCAGATATGGTAGCTCCACGCCTGTAATCCCAGCACTCAGGAGGCTGAGGCAGGAGAATCTCTGCCAAATCAGTACCAACCTGGGTTACATAGTGAGTTCAGGGCCAGCCTTACCTACATAGTGAGACCCTGTCACAAAAAAATCAAAACCATAAAATAAAATACAGGCCGAAGTCTTTTGTGGATCACATAACTAGATTTTTCTGCAACAAAAAATAAGTCTAGCAAATTAAATTTTTAATTTTCTTAAATGTGTCTCTAAATGACAAATGATATCTTCTCAATTATTAATAACACTCAATTTATTAGAACAAAGTGACCCCAGTATGGCTTTTTATTAGTAATTATTAAATGTACATCCTTTAGAACACCTATTATGAGATGGATGGTGTTAAACGGTTTTCAGATTGGTTCATACACCAGGGATGACTGATACCTATCAGTAGTGTAAGACAGGGCCCGGTGTTGATTACACCTCTATCCTTGCAGGGCTTAAAGGTGAGAGAGCTCCAGTTGCTCACGTATTTGGAAGGGGGCTGGGGGGCCGTAGCTGACGTACTGTTGGAGATGGGGTCTGGTCCCAAGCCTGTGTCACTGCAGCGTGGCCTGGCTCTTCCGAGCTCCTCCCTTTAGCCTCCCTGGCCCTTGTTCACCACGAATTGAGCAGCTGTCCTCCCCTCTGTCCCTTCTGCCTGCCTTCTGGCCTGGAGTCAGCCAGTTATGGACCAAAAGCATAAGCCAAGATAACTCTCTCCTTTAAGAGTCGAGTACAGAGCCTCAGCAGCAACCAGGTGCCTAAGAGCCTAAGTGAGGAAAAAACCAATGTAAATAAATGCAAGTACACAGGAGGTCTGGCGCATGAAGCTTCTGCTTCTGCCTGGCGACGTTACAGAGAAATATTTTGTTGCCGCACAGTCTTTTCCATCTCAGATCTGTGGCCCTGGCTGCCCTTCAGACTTCCCTGGCCACGTCTCCTCCACTGGCACCGGCCTGGCCGCCTGCCTGGAGGACAGGGAAGGTGCTGGCCGTGGCTCGAGGTGTCTGAGTCTCGTGGCATTGAGCAGCTTGGTGTGGCTCCCCAAACGCCTGGGTAGCCCCACTGAGGGCGAAGGCTGCCAGGCTGCATGTGAGCGCCCTTCCCACGGCTGAGGTGCGTGCCAGCCCTTTGTGCCCACCACCCCATGCCAACTTCCAGAGGTGAGCAGCGAGTGATGGGGGGAATTTGTGTCTACACGAAAACCTGCGCAAAGATGTCAACATCGACTTCATTCATAATCACCTGGACCTGCATTGGTGCAGAAACAAACTGTGTGCACTTGAGAACAGAACAGTACTCACCTCGGAGAGGGGGAGGCTGCCCCTAGAGGGACTTACCCACCTGCAGGACACTCTGCAGAGGCAGGAGCGTGGGGACAACGACCAGACTGGTGGCTTCTGGGTTGCTGGGGTTGGCAGAGAGGGAAGTGAGATGAGTGGGGTGCAGGAGAGCTCTGCATGGGGCTCTGATGGTGCAAGGCAGAGCCCAAGCCCTGACCGGAAGTGGATTCTGATGCCCACACTGTCTGGAAAGGCACCCTCTGGTCAGAGACGGGGACAACCGGGGTGGGAGCTGTGCACGCTGCAAGGGGAGAGGGTAATGGGAACTTGGTACCTCCCTCAAAATTTTGCTGTAAACAGAAAACCATCTCCCCCAAAATAAAGCTATTGTAAAATACAGGATTATGTTCATAAATACTAAGTGCTAGCAAAATTTTTAGATGATAATTGGATGAGAAGAGTAAGTAAAAGCCCCAGCCAGACCTTGCCAAATCCCGTGTTTATTCATCGCTGGTTGGTGCGTTGGTTTGCTGGAGAGGAGGTGCTGCCTCAGCCTCCCCAAGAGCTGGGAACGTGGGTGTGCACCGCCACACCCTGGGCCCACCCTTTCCAGTTTCTGCTTTAGGACAAGCTCTAAGTGACTAAACTGCCGAGGATGGGCTGGAATTTGCAGTCCTCCTGTGATGTGGAGATTACAGATTCACACTACCAAGTCCTGCTGGGTCTCCCATCTGGGCTTCTGGCTTCCACCTGGGGCTGTCTGTGGCTCCCCACTGCACCTGCAGCAAACCCAGACACCTGTCCCTTTCAGAAATACCCAGGGAAGCGACTGGCGCTGGCCAGTCTGTCCCCTCCCACTCTGTCTTATCCCCAAGTGGTCACCTGTATCTGAGCCTCTGTCCTGATCCCAGCTGGGGCATCCATGCTGTCACACAGCTCCCAGCCCCGTCCTCCCAGGGCACGGCAACCCCATCGTCCAGCTGCTCGGCTGCTCCACTCTGACCTGTCCTTCAGTCCCGCACATCAGCACTTCCTGCCGGCTCCTGTCCCCAGGCAGAGGAGACAGGGCCGCTCTGGAGTAGCCATCGGAGAAAGCCACAGGCAGCGGCCACTGCTGGTGATGGAAAGAGAAAAGTCAGTCCAGCCGCTGGCTAAGCAGGCAGGACACCGGCAAGGCAGGCATGGAAGCTGGGGCCTGTGATCCCAGCGCTTCCAAAAGCAGAGGCAGGATGACCACAAATCTAGCTCAGCCTGAGTAGTTTCGCAATTTAGTGAGACCTTGTCTCAAAAAAGAAGAAGAATTGAGAAAAAGGCCGGAGGCGCAGCCCAGTGCGAAGGCCCTGGGCTCCATCCGCAGTGCGGGAAGAAACTACTTCGTTTAGCACTTTCCCATCCTAAGAACTCCACCGAGAGGATGCGGAGCATCGTTGTTTATTTTTTGTGTCGAGAGAGAGAGAGAGAGAGAGAGAGAGAGAGAGAGAGAGAGAGAGAGAGAGAGAGAGAGAGTCTCCTTACAGAGCCCAGATTGGCCCTGAACTCATGATCCTCCTGACTCAGCCTCACAAGTGTTGCGATTTTAGCCCTGTGCCATCACGCCCACCTTCACGACACATTTCTAAGCACATTTTGGGCCATCCACAAACTCATGCCTGAACAACAGCTAAAAAGGGTACTGTGTACCCTTTCTTCTTCTGGGGGGAGAAAAAGAAAAATTAAGGATTGATTGGCTGAGGCAAGAAAATAGAAAGTTCCAACCCAGCCTGGGCCTATCTACAGCCTTTTGACCCGACCCTTGCTAAAACTAAAGATACATAAATAAATCAAATTGAAAGGGCATCTGCGGTTGTAACTCAGTGCAAAGGCCCTGGGTTCAATCCGCAGCACCACAAATATAAACCATGACGTGGCTGCCTCCACTGTCTGCAGGGGGTCCGAGATGTCCTCTGACAGGAGGTCCCAGCTGGTCAGGTGGTCCCACCGCTTGGAGTGCTCTAAGGAGCCCAGCGGCTTCAGCCCCAGGACACACCGAGCCCCGTGAATGGGCAGTGTGACTCACAGAGCCTCGGAACCTGGGCTCGGAATGTGGAGATGCGTGAGGTGCATTCTCGGAGGCCCCAGACCTCTCGCCCTGGAGCTGGGCTGGGACGAAAGAGGGCCGCCTTCCACTGGCAAGTAGGTCCAGTTCCCAGGCCGGGCACAAGGGACCTCTGCCTGGGGAGCTAGCAGTTGACGCCTGGGAGCTCCAGGGTAAGGAAAGAAAGGACTGGCTACAGGGGGGCCTCAGCGGTTGGAGAGGCCCAGGAGGGGTGGAGGTTGGCAGCCCTGGGACCCCGTGAGGACTAGGCCAGGTGGAGGAGGGGGATCAGCAGGCCCGGCCTTAGCACGTGGATGGCGGAAGCCAGGAGGCCCCAGGCCCTGCAGCCTGGCCGCTGTGCTCTGTCCTCTGACCTGGACACTCAATTTGGGGAGCCCTGCCACTGGCCACAGTGAGGCCCGCTGCTTTGTGATGATGGGGACACATAAGCCAGACTTTCCTCTGCTCTGGGCCTCAAGCCTCACTTGGTGCCCCGCCTGACTGGAGACTGATGCGGGGCTCCAAGGTTTCTCACAATCATCTGTCCTCAGCCTCCTGACGCTGTGGCCTGTGGCAGGGAGGACCCTCAGGCCAGGGGGTGGGGAAGTGACTGAGGGCAGGCACCCACTAAAGGAGGCAGGGCAGGAGGAGGGCTGGTCTGCAGGAGGAGGGCCTTTCCAGACCCAAACAGGCTGCCAGGAGGACACCAGTCCCCAGCTCCACGTGCCTGTCCTATCTCTACTTCTGGGTTGCCCTGGGGGGCTGCACCGTAGACCACAGTATGTTTGAGTGGATGGATGGACGGATTTATTTATTCATTTATTGTTACTGGGGATTGAACTCTGGGACTTTGCACTGAGCTACATTCCCAATCCATTTTATGTATTTTATTTTTTTTAAATTTTGAGGCAGAATCTTACTAAATCACTAAATAATGCGAGTTGGTTTGGAATTTGCAATCCTCCTGCCTCAGCCTCCTGGAGTGCTGGAATGCCAGAGGTGTGCCACCACACCCTGGCAGCAGTCTCTTTGCATTCTTTCCTTCTATGAAATGATTTAAAGAGAGAAATTAGCCCTTACTGAAGGGATCGTAGGAAGGAGAAGGTCCAGCTCCCTCGGGAGCCAAATATGGACGTGGCATGGGGTGGGGAAGGTGGGGTGCTCGGAAGGAACTCAAGGGCATCCTGGAGTCGGTGCGCTTCTCAGGGTGAGGCCGGAGCGCTGGAGAGAGGGAGCCAGCTTCTCTGGGGTAGTGATTCCCAATGGCTGGGGCCGAGACCTGAGGTCTCAAGTGGTCAGGATTGAGGGACGAGGTCCCCCACACCTCCTGTGTGGCCTGGCTCTGGGGTCCCCTCAGGTCCTAGGCTCCCGTTTCCTGCGCTGGGTAGCAGGACTGCACCCTCAGGATGGAGCTGCGGTTCCTCGGGGTGGCCTGGGTCGCGGGGTCCCCTGGGGTGGCCAGAGTCACTGGTCCCCCGGGGTGGCCAGGGCGGGTCGCGGGGTCCCTGGTCCGCAGCTCGGTTTCCTGCGCCGGGCTGGGCGGGAGGCCGGGAGGGCGGGAGCCCGGGGCGGGGCCGTCGTGCGCGCCCCCGCGCTGCCCCGGCCCGGCCCGGCCCGGCCGGCCGCGCTGACGCCCGTGTCCCGCAGGCGGCGATGATCACCTAGGAGGCGGCGGCGGCCATGGAGCCCGCGGGGCGCAGGCGGCGGCGGCGGCGGCGGCGCGGGGACGGCGGGGCGCGCACCGTGCGCTCGGGGCTGCACCCCGGGCTCCCCGCGCTCGGCTCCCGGGGCGCGCGGCTCGGGCTCCACGGCGGCTGCGCCCCGCCCGCCGCCGACAACCGGCTCAAGACCACCAAGTACACGCTGCTGTCCTTCGTGCCCAAGAACCTGTTCGAGCAGTTCCACCGCCTGGCCAACGTGTACTTCGTGCTCATCGCGCTGCTCAACTTCGCGCCCGCCGTGAACGCCTTCCAGCCGGGCCTGGCGCTGGCGCCCGTGCTCTTCATCCTGGCGGTGACTGCGCTCAAGGACCTGTGGGAGGACTACAGTCGCCACCGCTCGGACCTGGCCATCAACCACCGGGGCTGCCTGGTCTTCAGCCGGTGAGCCGGGGCCGCCTGCGTCGGGCCCGGGAAGGGCTTGTGGGCACCTGTGGGCGGCGTGGAGAGGTGGACCGGGCAGGAGGAAGCGCGCGCAGAGGCAGAGCCGTCAGATGGGCGCTGGGTTGCTATGTCCTCAGGACACCCAGCGAGTGTATTCCTGCCGTGCCGGGTCGCCCGGGTTGGGCCTGGGTAGAATGCAAACTGTTTGCACGCGTGGAAGTTAGAGCGGCGCTGCCCACTTCCCAGGGCGGCCTCCTGGAAGATGCGGTGCGTGGGGGCCAAGCACAGGCTGCTCACTGGGGAGGAGCAGGGACCCCACGCGCAGGCTTCCTGAGCTGCTAAGACCGGTGGGGCGGCTCTGGTAGTGAGTTTCCTGGCAGGGAAACAGGCGGTGCGACCTGGGATGACTGCTGTCCTGAACCTGCAGTTTTTCTTAAAATAACACTTTTCAAGTTGTGGTTTTCCCTGCCTCCTTTCTACCCGTGTTTCTTCTTTCGGATCCTAGTCCCAGGGCTGAGTCTGGCAGCGGGCGAGAGACCCTCATGCCTGCCACTTTTTCCTTCTGTAAGACCAGCGACTCAGCCAGGTCCTCACCGCCCAGGGACCCTGCCTAGTCCTTACCAGCCAGCCCCAGCTTAGCTCAGGGCTCCTTCTGGACATCACGGTATAACTGCCACCAAGCTTTGGAGCCCCAGCTCTGCCGGATAGAAGGATAGAAGGGCAGGGGTGGTTACTGCAGCGTGTGTCCGCCAGTGTGTGCTGGGGTCAGGTGCAGGCTGGTGTCCCTCTGAGCAGCTGTCTTACTACGAGCTTGTTTCTGGATGGAAGCAGACTCCCGCCTGTCTGCTGGTGGCACTAGCAGGTCCAGGGTACCCGCTTCGTCTCCTGCTGATTCAAACCCCGTGGGTGAGCCCCAGAGCCACAGATCCAAGCTGAGCCATGCGCAGAGCTGGGACTCCAAGGAAGGCAGCATCTCATCTGCTGTGGGTGACCAGGGGCACGCCCTTCTCACCCTGCTGGACCTGTAGTTCAGGTGGAGAAGGGTCTGTGTTTGAAAAGCATTTGTCCTGGCCTGGGATAGAGCTCAGCAGCACAGTGCCTGCCTGGCAAGTCCAAGGTCCTGAGTTTGATTCCCGGTACCAAAAAAATATTTGTCCTTCCGGCCCCTGTCATGCCCGCAGGCACCCGGTTATCCCTGCCCTCCTGGTGGCAGATGGTTCCCCTAAAATGTGGGCGCGCATTCATCCCTGCCTCTGCACTACGAAGGCGGCCTTGACTCTACCCTCCCAGCAGAATCTGTGCTCACAGCAGCACAAAGGTTACAGAGGGATCTTGCTCAGGGCACAGCCGCGGCACGGCAGCCACCAGGATTGACCCGGGTCTCCTGACCGCTTTTCTAATATTCCTGTGCCTCTGTTTCTCAGACGTTTTACAGGAATCACTGGAGGAGATGGCTGGGTTCTTTTCTTTTCCTAGTGCCTGCATATGTGTGCGTGTGCGTGCATGTGTACACGCGTGTGTGTGTGTGCGTGTGTGTGCGTGTGGTTCTGAGTCGGGGTCTGGCTACATTGCTCATGCTGGCCTGGCCCTTGTAGTCGCCTCCTACTCAGTCTCCTGAGTGCTGGGTTCACAGGCCTGGGCCGACACACCCAGCCAGGAGACCCTTAAATAACAGCTCTCCAAGTTTGCCCCGGCAAGGAATGGCCCGAGATCTGTTGGTCTGGAAGTGGCTCAGGCGACAGTGAGGGCCCTGCGCATCCTCCAGGCACCCATTGCAGGTCAGCCAGCGGGACCCTGAGGGCAAAACCCTGGACTTCCCTGGCGCCTGTCCTCTGCACTCCGTAGTTCAGCCTGCCTGGCAGTTGGAGTCTGCCTGAGCCGCTTCCTGTCACCATGGAGCCCTGACTCCAGTGCCCGCCTTTCAGGGATTCTTACCACTGGAGAAGTGGGTCACGCCTGTAATTCTAGCATCTGGGAGGCTGAGACAGGAGGATGATTAAGTAGGCATCAGCAGACTGTTTATCTTCAGTCGATCAAGTACTGTTCATAATGCTATGAGCCCTCTCCCTGACTTGTGGGAAGGGAAACTGAGGCAGGACCCAGAGAAGTTCTTTCTTTGTCTGTCTGTCTGTCTTTCTGATACTGAGAATTGAACCCAGGAGTGCTGTACCACTGAGCTACATTCTGGCCTATTGATTGATCAGTCCATTGATTGTTTTTGTGATACTGCTGATTGAACTCCAGGCTTTCACATTGAGTTATACTCAGAACCCCTTTTAAACATTGCTTTGAGACGGGGTTTCCCTAACGCTGGACCCGAGTTTGCCACCCTCCTGCCTCAGCCTCCCAGAGTGCTGAGCCTTCCAGGTGTTTGGCGGTGCTCCTGGCTCTCTTTCTTAGGTAGAGACGGAGTCTCTGAGCTGCTCAGCTCAGCCCTGGACAGAGATGCTCTCAGCATGGCCTCCAGAGGGGCCAAGGGCACAGACGTGCCCCGCTGCCCCAGCCCAGAAATAGTCCTGTCCATTGCTGTGGTGTTGCCAGGCTGTTGAAATCCAGCCTGCATGTGGGCCACACCCAGCTCCTCCTGCCCCAGGTCAAAGTCCTCCATATACTCCTGGGTGACCTGCAGGGCCTGGGGGCACTATTCTCGGTGGAGGAGCTGGGCCTTACCCAGGGGACCATGGTCAGCTCAGTGCCCACTCCTGTTCATGGGCTCTAGAAGGTGTCAAGCAGGAGGTGTGGGATTGGTGTGGCCAGGCCCTGGTGGGGAGAGCGGGAGGCTGGGTCCCATCAGGCTGGCTGTAGGGGACCAAGGGGCGTGTCCATCGGGGGCTACTGGACACCTGTCAGGAGAGGCTCCAGGGGCAGGTGAGGCTGGGGTTGAGACTGGGGGACCAAGGTGGGGCTTCTGGGAGGGGTCCCATCAGGCAGGACCTGGGAGGTGACAGGTTACAAGGTGCACGGCTTGAGGCTCGGACACAAAGCCCAGGACCTCGGGGAGCTGGCATCAGAACAACCCAGGACAGAACCCTGGTGGTGGCCAGCTCTGTTCAGGCCCCTTGTTGGTCAGAGCCATGTGCCTGATCTATGTCCCCTCCAAGTGTCCTGGCTGTGGTTGCTGCACAAAAGTGTTGGGTCAACGCAGGAGGATTTTAGATCTGCTTGGTTTAAAGATGGGGGTCTCCCTGCATGGCCCAGGTGGGCCTCCCACTCCTGAGCTCAAGCGCTCCTCCTCAGTGTGGCCATGAGTGTTTGAGAGGTGTACAGTGCGCAACAATGAAGCTTTAGGGAGGTCTCACCTGCCCCCGCGTCACTGTCCTCAGCCTGGCATTTGCCTGCTGCCTGTCAGGACATGGACCCGGGCCCGGGAACCTCACAATGGCCCTGGGAGCCCTGCTTGAAGCCCAGGTACACTGGACCTGTTAGACCCTCTGAGGTGTCTGAATGCTCAGGGACCTTGTGAGCCGGCCTCTATGGGATTCCAGGGTCAGGTCCTGCCGTGGCCCACACGGTGGGAAGTGTCCTGGGTCCCCTATCAGCAGGCTGTGGCCCAGGGTGCAAGGCGGAAGTAGGCACTGCTGCTGGCAGACAGGCCTTGGTGAGGGCATCGGCTGGCCCAGGGCCCCGGGCAGGACCCTCATCTGGGCTGTGCCTAGGAGCCCCAGCAAGAGGTCCTGCACCCCGTATGGGGCCCAGGCTTCCATTAGCAGACACCCAATTCCTGTATGGAGATCCCAATAGGGATGGGGTGGAAGCCACAGAGACTGGGGCCGAGGGGTCCACAGAGGGACCTCAGGGTCCCTGATGGGCAGGGCTTGAGGAGATAAGACAGGAACCAGGGTCAGAAGGAGAGCGACAGATGCTCCCCATCTCCTCACACAGGCACACGGACACGCACATGTGTGTGCGCGCACACACACACATGCTCACACTGAGCTGTGTCCCACCTCTTCGCAAAATTTTTCTATTCAGGGGCAGAGTCTTGATAAGTGGGAAAGTTTCCAGGGCTGGGTTCAAACTTCTGATGCTCAGGCCTCAGCTTCCAGAGTGTGGAATTTTGATAGGCATGTACCACCACGCCCTGCTCCAGCCCCCACCCCCTTTAAAAGTAGGATCCTCTTTTAACTCTCTTTTGCCTGGGTGAGACTCAAGCTGCTGACCCTCCTGCCTCAGCCTCTCTGGTAGCTGGGTTTACAGGCCTGCACCCCCTGCAGGCTGAGGTTTCTTAGGGATTTCTGCTCTAAAACGCCCCTTCCCTTCCTATCTCTCTTTTTGCTCCTGCAGTTTATTTTGCAGAAGCTGTGTGTGCCGTGGGGTTTCCATGGTCTGCATCTTTCTGGTTTCTTCTGTGGCTTGTGTAACACACTCTCCTCTGCCAAGGTCCCTGTGAGGGCAGCTGGGTCTGGATGCCTCCTCAGAGCTTCCTGGGCTCAGGCTTGAAAGACTGTTTTTCAAGCCAAGACAGCACCAGAGGTGGTTTGCTGCCCCGAGACTCGGGGACACCCAGACACACCTGCCACTCACACATCAGAGGTCTTGGTGGCCTCGACGCTCACTGCCTACATCCATTGGTCTGTCAGAGGATGCAACCCTGTTGGGCTGTGATTCTTAAATTCCTGTTTTATTGAGCATGCATTTACCAAGTGACTTTCCCTAATCAACTGCCCGGCTTCCCTTGGTCCAGCTAAAATAGGGAAGAAGGAAAAATGCTCCGTATTGCATTGGCAGCATCTCTCAGTGGTACTCAATTAGCCTTCAAGAATTTGTAAATTTTTATTCGGAGTGTGTGTGTGTGTGTGTGTGTGTGTGTGTGTGTGTGTGTGTTGAGACAGGATTTGGCCTAGAACTCACTTTGTGGCCCAGCCTGGTGTTGAACTTGCAGCGCTCCTCCTCCCTCAGCCTCCTGAGTGCTGGGATTTTAGGCATGGGCCACCACACCCAGCTCTGAAATAATTTTAAATTTGCAGAGAAGTTCCAAAAATAGTACAGGATTCCTGTAG